ATAAAAGACCCAAAATAGCAAAAGCAATTCTAAGCAGGAAGTGCGAATCAGGCGGTATAGCGATAGCAGACTTAAAACTATATTACAGAGCAATACTAACAAAAACAGCATGGTACTGGTACCAAAACAGGAGGGTGGACCAATGGTACAGAATAGAGGACACAGAGACTAATCCACAAAGCTACAACTATCTTATATTTGATAAAGGAGCTAAAAGCATGCAATGGAGGGAGGATAGCATCTTCAACAAATGGTGCTGGGAAAACTGGAAATCCATATGCAACAAAATGAAACTGAATCCCCTCCTCTCGCCATGCACAAAAGTTAACTCAAAGTGGATCAAGGAGCTAGATATCAAATCAGAGACTCTGCGTCTGATAGAAGAAAAAGTTGGCTCCGATCTACATATTGTAGGGTCGGGCTCCAAATTCCTTAATAGGACACCCATAGCACAAAAGTTGATAACAAAAATCAACAAATGGGACTTACTTAAACTGAAAAGTTTTCTCTCAGCAAGAGAAACAATAAAAGAGGTAAATAGGGAGCCTACATCATGGGAACAAATTTTTACTCCTCACACTTCAGATAGAGCCCTAATATCCAGAGTATACAAAGAACTCAAAAAATTAAACAATAAGAAAACAAATAACCCAATCAACAAATGGGCCAAAGACCTGAACAGACACTTCTCAGAGGACATACAATCAATCAACAAGTACATGAAAAAATGCTCACCATCTCTAGCAGTCAGAGAAATGCAAATCAAAACCATCCTAAGATACCATCTCACTCCAGTAAGATTGGCAGCCATTCTGAAGTCAAACAACAAGTGCTGGAGAGGATGTGGGGAAAAGGGTACTCTTGTACATTGCTGGTGGGACTACAAACTGGTGCGGCCAATCTGGAAAGCAGTATGGAGATTCCTGGGAAAGCTGGGAATGGAACCACCATTTGACCCAGCTATTGCCCTTCTTAGACTATTCCCTGAAGACCTTAAAAGAGCGTACTACAGGGATACTGCCACATTGATGTTCATAGCAGCACAATTCACAATTGCTAGACTGTGGAACCAACCCAGATGCCCTTCAATAGATGGATAAAAAAAAAGTGGCATTTATACACCATGGAGTACTACGCAGCACTAAAAAATGACAAAATCATAGAATTTGCAGGGAAATGGATGGCACTAGAGCAGATTATGCTTAGTGAAGCTAGCCAATCCCTAAAAAACAAATACCAAATGTCTTCTTTGATATAATGAGAGCAACTAAGACAGAGCAGGGAGGAAGAGCAGGAAGAAAAGATTAACATTAAACAGATACATGAGGTGGGATGGAAAAGGAGAAAAAAGGGAAATTGCATGGTAATGGAGGGAGACCCTCATTGTTATACAAAATTACATATAAGAGGTTGTGAGGGGAATGGGAAAATAAACAAGGAGAGAAATGAATTACAGTGGATGGGGTAGAGAGAGAAGATGGGAGGGGAGGGAGGGGGGATGGTAGAGGATAGGAAAGGTAGCAGAATACAACAGTTACTAATAGGGCATTATGTAAAAATGTGGATGTGTAACTGATGTGATTCTGCAATCTGTATTTGGGGTAAAATTGGGAGTTCATAACCAACTTGAATCTAATGTACGAAATATGATATGTCAAGAGCTTTATAATGTTTTGAACAACCAATAAAAAAAAAAAAGAAAAAATGACAGCATACACAAGGCCCAAGTTTCACTCCCCAGCACTGCCATATAATAAATACTTTTTTTCTAAATAAATATTTAGAAATATATATTAAAAATATTTTTTCTAAATTTAAATATTATGTATATAATATTTAAATTTAGAAAAATGCAAAGAACTCTTATTTTCTAGCAAAGTATTTAAAATGGAAAAAGTCAAAGCATGAGTAATGCTACACAAATTTATTGGACAATGCAGAAGTGTTTCTAAAAAATGAAAATTTCAGGATCCCAAGTCTCAAACTCTTCAAGAAACAGAAAAAATGAAGAGTAACAGTAACTGAATTTGGAAATTGAACTAGATAGGTAGGGAAAGGGGCTTTACTATTTGAATTTCTTCACCATTCATATTAGTAAAAAGAATAAGGGGGGGGGGTCTGGAGTTGTGGCTCAATGGTAGAGCACTTGCCTAATGTGTGAGGCACTGGTTTGATTCTCAGCACCACATCAAAATAAAGGTCCAACAACACATAAAATGTGTTAAAAAAATAATAAGGGGACCACCTGTACTTGGTTTCAGCTGATTGCTATTAGGGGAATTGAATTACAGTGCTGCCAGCTTCTCATTTTAAAGAAGGAAATGTTGAATTTTATCCGAAACCCCCCACTTAAAAAAAAAAAAGTGCTATTTTCTTTCTTTTCCTTAGAGATGGGATTTTAGTATGTTGCCCATGGTGGGCTCACAGGTTCTCTTGCCTCAGCCTCCCAAGTAGCTGAGGCTACAGGTATGCACCACTCTCCCAGGCTTCGTTCTTTTTTATATATACCTTTATTGTTATGTGGTGCTAAGTGAGGATCAAAACCAATGCCTCACACATGCAAAGCAAGCACTCTACCACTGAGCTACACCCGCAGCCCCTCATTAATTCTTTCAAGCACTGTATGGTCAACTAGTACTCCTATAAGGCCACTATGTTTGGTTAAAGTCTGAACAAGGCACTCTGTCAAGACGAGGGGGTAAAATTCTGGATTTCTTTATAGGAAGGGGTTGGGCCTGTTGGGAGAAAAAGGTGCCTTTTCCTACTTTTCACAAAGGAACTACATAGACAGTGGCAATCTTGCTTCTTTGTTACCTTTGGATAACATGACAGAGCATTACAGCTAGAAATAATTCATATGACATTTATCTATAAGGATGACCTTATTCTAACAACCCAGGTCGCTCAACTGCTAGGCCTTTCTATCCTTCTGGTAATGGTAATAGATTTGCACTCACCCTTCCTGCTTTCTGCGAAAAAGTCTTTAATACCACTAGGTTCATGTGTGAACATATATATCCAGCTGAATCCTAAGGACCTACAAACAAATAAGGGTTACAGTAGCAATAGCCATTCTTCTTATTACTAAGCTCCTTCCTAGATTTTGGAGAAGTTATTTGTAGAAGTGGGCTGGGCAGGGCTACATGTGTGTTAGGTACATTTAAATTTGATAACTAATCACCTCCTATATGATAGAAAACTTCACTACTTTTCCTAGGACATTCCTCCTAGTCTAAAAGTAGCGCAGAGCACTTTCTGATACACACACCACCAGTCTGGGGATGAGGAAACTTGGTTCCTAACACAAATCCTATTATTACCTAGCTATGCAGCTGTTTTATAAGGTTGTTCCAATTCCTAAAAAAATTGCTTCAAGTAAAATTTATGCTTATAAAAAGTCATTGTCGTAAGATTAACAATGAAGTTCAAAGTACTTCCCAGTAAAGCTTCTATCCCATAATGAGCACACAATAGCTATTACTGGCACGTGTTACCTGGGAACTCTACATGGCATGGGAACATGTACCTTGCTTCCAGGGCTACACCACTTCTAGCTACTTCCTCAAAATCATGCTCTATTAATATCAGTTCAGTGGGGGATTTGCTATAAATAGTTGATATTTGTTCATACAAATTGCTCCTTTTAAAAATTAAGCATTCATCTTCATTTTTCATAATGAAGAGTTGGTAGAAAAAGAGAAAGCATCATTAAATGATAAAAAGGATGTTTACTACCTAGTCATTCTACTCTCTTAAACTGTTTTCCTCAATTTATATTCATGTGATTTTACAGCCAAAAAAGCATAAATAACTTTTATTTCCGTTAAACTTATCTAATAATTAATTTAATAAAGCACTGAGAAAGATAATAAAATATGAACTATAAGATTTTAAGAACAGATATACACCATTGTCTTAATTATATTTGCTGACTTCTGTTGCTTAGTGGGAAAAGCCAGGGCTGCCACCCAGTGGCAACATTAGTCTTTAAATGATTTTAAGATTTAAATAATTTTTTTAAATATACATTTCACAACTTAAATTTTACCATCAATAACTCTGATGTATAATCTGTTTATAATAGCAGAAAATGGAAATATTCATATACTTTAGGTAATATAGGAGAAATTTTTGAAAAATATGATTTTTTAATGTTTCCTTTTAATAAGTATTTTGAATTAAAAAAATGATGGTTACTTTGCTTAAATTTAAATTTTCAGCATAATGAGAAGTATGACCACAAAATACAATGGTTGTTTCCTGTGGCTTACAGCAGTGGATTCAATACTTTTATAGAAGGGCTGGGGTTGTGGCTCAGTGGTAGCGCCCTTGCCTAACATGCACGAGGCACTGGGTTCGATTCTCAGCACCACATACAAATATATAAAATAAAGGTTCGTCAACAACTAAAAAATATTAAAAAACAAAAACAAAAAAACTTTACAGAAGCCTGTCATCCATTCACCTAAACTACAACTTGTTAAACAAAAATAAGACTTTAAAAATAATGTAATTTTATCTAACCATAAGCACATTCCATTTCCCCCTCAGGTTTATATCAAATTTAGTGTCTCAGTCAATAAAACTCAAAGCTGAAAAGAGGTGGTGCTTGGGGAGCAGCTTAGTAGTATAGCACTTGCCAACATGTATAGAAGGCCCTGGATTTGATTCCAAGCATGGAATTGGGGTGATATGGGGTGGACATTGAAAGAAGGAAGTAAAAATAGGAAATACTGTCTCTTACAACGTATGTTTGGAGAGGAAGAAAACCAAAACGCCCTACATATCTTATTGTCTCCTATTTCCCCAAAACTTGTTCATAATTTATTTCACACGGGCATCAATATAACATGTTCTAATACAAGATGCTTTGGTAAAGTAACACTAGGAAAAAGAAAGTAACACAGAGCAGCCATTTACATTTTTAAAAGCTCAGTATCTCAGAGACTGCTTTGTTCTCGAGTAACAAGAAAAAAAAAAAAAAATCAAAGAAAATTCTTAAGAATCGAGTGATTTTTTTGTTTCAACAGTTGTAATTAAAAATTATGTTAAGATGTTTCTAACCCATGCCCCATCTGTTTCATAGTACAGTGAAGATAATGAATGAACTGTTAAAAAATAACGGCATACACAACATACTTGGTATTTACAATGGCTTGTGACAAATACATACCTGAAAATAATTTCTAATTTTCCATTTATTATTGCTATTTAGTCACAGAAAAGATTAACACTCTCCAAGAAATTTATTTGAGCATATGCCATATATAGATATAATTTTATATGAAGAGAAACCATGGCAGAACTAATGGGGTGCCTTTACAAGGAAATCAGTAATAGGAATAAAGAAATTCTTCCATATAAAGACTTCTGATCTGTATTACTCCTTTTTTTCCTCCAAAATATAAAACCTTAATATTAGAAGCAAAGAGAAAAACAGCAAAGAAGGAAAAAGTAAAATAGAAGACCAAGGATAAGAACTGTTCTATGCAGATGCATTGCATACGTAGTATATAATGTATGGGCTGAGTTATAATAAAAATACTTATGTATTATAGTCAATTCTGAGAGTTAGAAACAGCAATTTCCAATCAAGCATGATTGGACTGACACTTCCTCAGTCTTCAATTACATGATGAATTAAAGCTGTAGAGCAGTCATTTTGATCAGCAATATCATGATAAATGCTTGACAAGATATAATTTTTCTCCTTGTTCACTTGTAAAAATTGGTGCCTTTTTGTAATGTTCTACAAGTTCTTCCATGGTGCTGAATTTACGCTGCCCAATGCAGTAGACAGTCTCTTTTAGTTGGACTTTAAAATGCTTGTTTTTCCCCTGTGCTTTTAGTGATACTGAGAAATCATTTGGCTAAAAGAGAAAAAAAAAATATATAATAGTCAACATTTTGAAAGCCATATATTTGCATTTTCATATTAAACTAATAAACTGCTAAACTCCAAGTGCTTAATAAGTACAAGGCATTATGCAAAATTTTACATTATTTCTTTTACTTCTTAAAACAAACTCTTTTTACAGATGAGAAAAATGAGGCAGAAAAGCCAACTTGCCCAATATCACCCATTTAGTTAACAAAAGAGGACTCAAAACCATGCAATCAAGAGTTTCTGAACATCTTGGTGTCCACAGCATAATAACTACAGTAAATCTTTTAGTTTAATATCTGAGGCATAATAACTGTCTTCTCTCCAGGCAGTCTACTGAATACAGGAGAAAAATCTCATACATCCACCCCATCTCTTTTCGATTTGTAGCTAATAGTAGGTGACGAAGAGGTAATACTCTGAAGTCTCAAAAATAAAAGAAACAAAGTGAGTGAGAATCAGTCTAAAGTCTAATGGAAGGTCACAAACTCAAAAGCCTACAAGGGCCAAAAAAGTAATGTAAACAGGTGTCAAAAGTGGATGGACAGAGAGAATGACAGTGTACAGGCCAATCTAAAGCAGAAACTTGTCATCTGTGATTGTTGTCCTGTAGAACAATATTCAATGTTGGCAGGTCTCATCATCTTAAAAGAAAATTTTGAAGTCTGGATTCTTATACAAAATATACCTATTCAAGACCTCAACCTTAAAAATTATATTGCTCAAAATAATGGTATATTTTGCCTTATATCTAGCTCTACCCACAAGGAAATACATAGTATTCTATACTCAAGTTCATTCTTTTTTAATTAGTGGGTTTTTGTTGTTAGGTTTAAAAACAAAAGCAAACACCAACCAACCAAACAATCTTCTGAAAAATCTATATCAACATTGGAAACCTCTTTTTATTCCCAAAGTTTCAAACAGTGGGCCAGACCAGACATCTGGCCACTACTCTTACTATCAACCACCTAATCTTCTGAAGGGTTAGGTACAAGCCCCATCTCCCGGAACTTTCCCTAAGGAAGTTCAAATAATTTTCTTTTCTCTTTCAACCTTTTGTATAAATATACCTTCATTTTTTGTATAAATTATGCTCACCAAAGTCAATACTAATCATGACTTGCTAAGTGGAAGAGTAGTGCTATCAATTACCAAAGGAAAAGAGAGGTAATTTTTAAGGAAAATTAGTGTCATCAAATTTTAATATGTAAGACAATACCCAAAAGAGACCAAATAACTATATTCTTCCTCAATTTTTATGGTTTTATAGTTTTTTCATTTTATTAGTACTGTAATATAATTTACTTTTTATTGGAAATGTATTTCTAACAGTGTTAAAATAGAATTTTTTTTGCTTTTGTTTTACTGTACTAGAAATTGAACCCAGAACCTCACACATGGTAAGAAACTGCTCTACCAATCTTTTAACTTTGAAACAAGGCCTTCCTTCCTAAGTTGCTCAGGCTGGCCTCAAACTTTTGATCCTCCTGCCTCAGTCTCTCCCAAGCCCTTGAGATTATAGGTGTGTACCACCTCATCCAGCACTAAAATAGATTTATAAAGTATAAAATAAAAGTGTATTTTGATTTTCAAACAACCAATATGAAGAAACTTAAATATCAATTTTTTAAATTTTGGGAATTTCTATGTTTTAAAGACTACAGTGATTATTTTCTAATATATTGCATCTGATAGCAATTTAAGAAATATTTTCCTGGTTTTATCTACTGCATTATTCTACTTTAAATGAAGATGTCAATGTTTAATTTTCTTCCTTTTTCTGTTTAATGCAACAGAACACATTCCAGGAACACCAAATCAACACAACTGGACAAGGCCAAATAAATTCAGTGTAATATCACTGCTACAGCTATGTTTTATTCAAGATACATATAGTTAGAAAAAACAGCAACTTTACCTTCAGAACATTTATGCTTAGGTCCCAGCATACAAATTCTCTTTATTTATTTATTTTAATACCCACAGCTCTGTTTCCATTTACCTTTGAAAATCAACTTACCGAAGATTCACTATCACGAATGAGGAAATCCCCTTCATGCCCTCTTTCATTTAATGCCATTTCTGCTTGATGCCTGGTGACTTTGCCATAATACCAAGGATTGCCAGCAAACTTTCCAGTGAGTGAAGGCCTAATGTAATCACACTGTGGAGGTGATGGCTCCAAACCTGAGGTTAATGGATTATTCTGCATAATGGTAACATAGTTTTTTGGTACCAGACCAACCATTCCATTGATCTTCCTGCATTTCCACCATTCTGGGTCATTTTCTGGTTTTTCAATAACATCCATTACATCACCTTTCTCAAAATTAAGTTCTTCATCATTGGATGAGCTGAATGGGTAAAGAGCCTGTACCACATGCAACACTTGCCCACTATTTAAGTTATTGACAACTGCTGCTAATTTCTCTGACAGAGAACCCACATGGTCACCCAAGGGACTGTCACCTTCTTCAGTTACATAGTTTGAAGGGAACCATCCAATTTGTCCATTGTAGCTACCCCGCCACCACCCATCACTGCATTTCTCCATGACGATCACCTTCGTCCCTTTTATCAATGATAATTCATCCTCTCTCTCAGCCATGTAGTTAAATTTCACATAGGCAGGCATATTGAGGTCATAGAGACGTTCCCCTGGGTCAACAAAGCTATCATCAGCAGGAGATGCAGAATCTGGAACACTAGGTTTTCTTTTCACTTTTCCAATGCCTGTTTAAAAGAAGAGAAGGTAATAAGAATATAAGTGACTACCAAAAACACCAATTTATTCATTATATAAAAATAATCCTCAATTCTATGTAGTTTGTTTTGTTTTTTAGTTTTAAGCCTTTACATGTAGATAACAAATGTCTGTGTAGCATAAACATCTTTTTGGAAATGAGATAAAAATTCTCCTTTCCTAGCACCAAAACAGGCTGGTAGACCAATGGTACGGAATAGAGGACACAGAGACAAATCCACAAAATTACAACTACCTTATATTAGACAAAGGTGCTAAAATTATGCACTGGAGAAAAGATAGCATATTCAATAAACGGTGCTGGGAGAACTGGAAATCCATATGCAATAAAATGATTGAATCCCTTTCTCTCACCATGCCCAAAAATCAACTCAAAATGGATCAAGGAGCTGGGAATCAAACCAGAGACTCTGCGTCTAACAGAAGATGGTTGGCCCTAATCTTCATCACGTGGGGGCAGGCCCCAAATTCCTTAATAAGACACCTATAGTATAAGAGTTAAAACCAAGAACCAACAAATGGGATTAATTCAAACTAAAAAGTTTTTTCTCAGCAAGAGAAATAATATGTGAGGTGAACAGGGAGCCTCCATCCTGGGAACAAATCTTTACCCCTCAAACATCAGATAGAGCTTTAATCTCTAGAGTAAACAAAGAACTCAAAAAGTTAAAAAACAACCCAATCAACAAATGGGCCAAGGACCTGAACAGACACTTCTCAGAAGAGGATATACAATCAATCAACAAATACATGAAAAAATGCTCACCAACTCTAGCAATCAGAGAAATGCAAATTAAAACTACTCTAAGATACCATCTCATTCCAATAAGAATGGCAGCCATTATGAAGTCAAACAACAATAAGTGCTGGTGAGGATGCAGGAGGAAAAAGGTACACTCATACCCTGCTGGTGGGACTGCAAATTGGTGCAGCCAATTTGGAAAGCAGTATGGAGATTCCTGGGAAAGCTGGGAATGGAACCACCATTTGACCCAGCTATTCCCCTTCTCGGATATACCCAAAGACCTAAAAAGAGCATACTACAGGGACACAGCCACATCAATGTTTATAGAAGCACAATTCACAATACCTAGACTGTGGAACCAACCTAGATGCCCTTCAATAGATGAATGGATAAAAAAAAAAAAATGTGGCATTTATACACAATGGAATATTACTCAGCACTAAAAAACAACAAGATCATGGCATTTGCAGGGAAATGGATGGCATTAGAGCAGATTATGCTAGATGAAGTTAGCCAATCCCTAAAAAACAAATGCTGAATATCTTCTCTGATATAAGGGGAGTGACTCAAAATGGGATAGGGAGAAAGAGCATGAGAAGAAGATCACCACTAAATAGGGAAGAGAGGTGGGAGGGAAAAGGAGGGAGAAGGGGAATTGCACGGAAGATGGAAGGAGACCCTCATCGTTATACAGAATACATGTATGATGTTGTGAGGAGAAAAAAAAAGTGTGTCACATTAGATTGGGTAGAGAGAAGTAATGGGAGGGATAGGGAGGGGAAGGGGGGATAGGAAGAGCGGCAGAATAAAATAGACATTATTATTGCTGTATGTTTATAGATGACTGTATGACCAATGTGATTCTGCAACCTGTACAATCAGAAAAATGAGAAATTATACCCCATTTGATTCAAATGGATGAATTGTCAAGATCATTGTACTGTCATGTGTAGCTAATATAAATAAATAAAATTGTAATGCAAAAAAAAGAGCTCATGTACAATGACATAATTTGGTGTGAACATACTTTATATATGGAGTTACAAAAAATAGTGCTGTGAATGGATAATTATGAATATAATGCACTCTGCTAATGTCATGAAATTAATTAATTAATTAATTCTCCTTTCCTAATCACAGATTTAATCTCAGCTATGTGACTGTTTACCTTTTCATCTTGGTTCCTGTCAAAGACCTGGAAGTAACCACATAATTATAAAGTTGTCATACATTAATAGACTTCCTCTTAAATGTTAATATACATTACTTTTTCTCATAGCTATAATCTAAGCATAAAAAAGGCTCCACCAAACTCATACTAATCTCATTAACCTGGATTTTATAATTAGCTGTATAGACACAAAAGAAAAACTTAAATTAGAACTTAATATGCAATATAAAATTGTAGTGATGTCTGGGTGGGTAATCTTCTCATTTGCTTTTTTAGTTCCCAGAACCAGCAAACTCGATCTCATATTTATTTTAAAATGATGTATTATTTACTGTTTTGTCTCCCTCCACCCATTCACATGTAACCTCCACAAGGGCAGGGAATTTTGGTTACAGACATAATTCCAGGGACCTTATTAAATGCTCAAAACTAGAAGATATTTATTTATTTATTTTGAGAGAGAGAGAGAGAGAGAGAATTTATTTATTTACTTATTTTTTTTTTAGTTTTCGGCGGACACAACATCTTTGTTTGTATGTGGTGCTGAGAATTGAATGAGGGCCGCACGCATGCCAGGCGAGTGCGCTACCGCTTGAGCCATATCCCCAGCCCAAAACTAGCAGATATTTAAACTTCTAAAATTCCTTCCTACTGTCTCAAAACTTTCTCATTACCCTCACTCATTTTCTTCAGCCAAGTCCCTAAACTTTGATCCTTTTGAGTTAAAAATATAACCATTCCTCTTTTGAAACTCTTTGGCATCCTTGTTTCCCTCTCATTCAATTTTGTTAAGTCTACAAACATATTAGAATCTTCTACTCCAAAATAAAGTCACTTCTGCTCACAAACTCTTGAGAATCTGATTCTTTATATCTGCCAATGCTATCAAAATTGCCCAATTAAAACATGAAAATTGTGCCACCACCTTACTGCCAAATCTGAATCTTTTAGAGTCCCCAGTCTTCTCAATATCTTCATGCAGCAACCAAGATCACAGACCTCTCTCTCCAGTATGTTTTCTTTCTCTGAACTTTCCTGAGTATCCTGTTCTCTCTCCTGACTACTTATTCTTTTTTTATTTTTAAAGGAAAAAGCATTCTTTTTTTCTTAACCTTTATTTTTTAAATTTATTTTTATGTGGTGCTGAGGATCAAACCCAGTGCCTCACACGTGCTAGTCAAATGCTCTACCACTGAGCTACAACCCTACCCCTAAATATTCTTGTATAGCCTGTGTGGGCTCCTCTAAACCTTGCTATTATGATGTACTTGTGTGTTTTCCTTTATATGAAAGTGAAATTCTCAAGGACAGAAAACTAAATCTTATTCCTTTGTATCTCCAATGCTTGGTAGTACCCACATTAGTAGTAGGAACAAAGTGAATGTTTGCTGAATAAGTAGGTGAATGATTGTTCCTGGGTTAAAAGTGTTTTCCAAAATGACATGCCTGGCCTATTTCAAGGAAATTATACACTTTCATTTTAACTTCTATGTAGAAGATGCTTAGATCTATTTGCAGCTCTAAGCTCTTTCTCGAATTCAAGCACCAGAATTCCAATTGTCATTAGATAGCTACAGGTTATATTAGTATCTCAAACCCAGTACTATGTCCACATAAAAATAATCTCTTTTATACTCATAAATCAATTTTCTCTCCTCTAGTTTTCTGACTTTTGGTTAACAGTTTCATCATTCTTAAAAATTTCTACATCAGAAGTAATTATCACAGTAGGGAAGTCCAGGGCTCCCACTAAATACTATCAGAATTAACTTTTGCAAAACAAAACCCTGAAACTTATTAAAAAAATGTATAAAAACTAAGGCAAGGATTAGTTAAGAAAGCTAATGCTGTGTGCTGCCTACCATTCCCCACACTCCAAGTCAGTATAAGGCTGTAAGGGCACCAACCTGCACTCCCAATGCCTGAGGGAGTGACACAAATTTTTAAACAATTGTGATTGTGGGTTTCAACTTGTCTGGCAGTTCCCGGAAGAACTAGCACAATGGTTTGCCTTGGGTTTGCCTTACTGGAGCATTCCCAGGGTTAGGGTGTCTTTCTGGGTGGCTTTTAACTAAATCATTGCATTGATTCAGCAGCCTGCGGCAAGGATCAACAATTGAAACAAGGGACAGATCACAGAAAGCCTGAAAAGGAAGATGATGGGAAAAAATATACATAGAATAATAAGGGATTTTTTTAAAGCTCTTGTAAATACCAGATGTTATGGTTTGGATGTGAGGTGTCCCCCAAAAGCTCACGTGTGAGACAATGTAAGAAAGTTCAGAGAAGAAATAATTGAGTTATGACAGCCTTAACCCAATCATTTAATTAATCACTTGATGACTGAAGGAAGGTGAGGCGTGGCTAGGGGGAGGTGGAGCACTGGGGGTGTGGCTTAGAGGAGGTGGGGGCACTGGGGGTGTAGCTTTGGGTGCACAGTTGTAACTGGCAAGTGAAGATCTCTCTCTGCTTTCTGATGGAACCACTTCCCTTCACCACACTCTTCTACCATGATGTTCAGTCCCACCTTGAGCCCTGAGGAATGGAGCCAGCTGTCTATTGACTGAGACCTCTGAAACCATGAGCCCCCAAAATATTAAGAAAATTTCATGTATTTAGAAGAATAAAATAAAATAGAAATAAATTTAGCCTAAGAAGTATAAATTTACACAATTATAAAATACTGTTGAAAGAAATCAAAGAAAACTAAATAAATAGACATCCTGATGCTAAATTTCAGATTTGGCAAGGGACTTTAAGTAGCCAAAACACTCTTGAAAATGGAAAAGGTGGAAGACTCATCAGTTCTGTGCTCAACTTACTACAAAGCCAAAATAATCAAAATAGTGTTGTGTTAAGATAAAGGCAGACAGATGAACAAAACTGAATTCTGAAATTCCTGAAACTCATCAGCTATGGACTCATCAGCTAGTAGTTTTTGTCAAGGGCACTAAGACCATTTGATAAGGAGAAAAAATAATCTTTTCAATGAATAGTACTGGGGAAAATCCATATTTAAAAGAATGACACTGGACTCCACATCATATATAAAA